TTATCTATTTTACCCACACCCCACCAACTTCCCCTCTAGCAAGGACCAGTTTGTTTTCTGTATTTAAGCATCTGGATTTTTGTCTCTCTATCTCTCTCTCTTTTTTCCCCTGTTTATTCATTTGTTTTATTTCTTAAGTTCCACATATGAATGAAATCACATGGTATTTGTCTGTCTCTGACTGATTTATTTCTCTTAGCATTATACTGAATTGTTGCCTTAATTTCCTTTTTGCATCATTCATGGTTAGTGTATAGAAACTGATTTTTGTATGTTGATTTTGTATCCTGCAAACTTGCTGAATTATTTTATTCCAACAGTTTTTTTGTGGAATCACTGGGGTTTTCTAGATACAAGATTATGTCATCTGAGATCATTTTACCTCTTTTTTTCTGATCTGGAAACCTTTTATTTTTTTCTCTTGTCTAATTGCTTATAGCTAAGACTTCCAATAGTATGTTGAACAAAAGTGGCAAGAGTTGGTATCCTTGTTTTGTTCCTGACCTTAGAGGAAAGACTTAGATCTTTCTTACAGGAAAGACTTAGATCTTTTGGTTTTTCACTATTGAGTATGAAATTGGCTGTATATACTTTTCATATATGGCCTGTATTAAATTGAGGTAATTTCCTTCTATTCCTAGTTTTTGAGTGTTTTTATCATTAAAGGATGCTGAAGTTTGTTCAATGTTTTTCTGAATCTTTTGGAATGATCATGTGATTTTGTCCTTCATTCTGTTAATGCGGTGTATCACATTGATAGATTTTTGTATGTTGAACCATCTTTGCGCTGTGGGGATAAATACCACTTGGTTATGGTGTATGATTCTTTTAATGTTCTGTTGAATTCGGTTTGCTAGTATTTGTTGAGGATTTTGCATCTATGTTCAGTGGAATACTGGCCTGTAGTTGTCTTTTCTTGGAGTGTCTGGCTTTGGTATGAGGTTAGTACCAGCCTCGTAAATGACTTTGGAATGTTCCCCATTCTTTAGTTTTTTGGAAGGGTTTGAGAAGGATTAGCATTAATCTTTAAATTTTAGGTAGAATTCTCCAGTGAAGCCCATCTGGTCCTGGGCTTTTGTTTTTTGAAAGGCTTTTGATTACTGATTCGATCCCCTTACTATATAGATATGTTCAGGTTTTCAGTTTCTTCATAATTCAGTCTTGGTGAGTTGTATATTTCCAAGAATTTATCTATTTCTTCTAGTTTCTCCAATTTGTCAGTGTATAACTGTTTATAGTAGTCTCTTATAATCCTTTTTTATTTTTGTATTTCTGTGACTGCATTAGTACTCCTTTTTCATTTTGATTTTGAGTCTTCTGTTTGTTTTTTAGTCCATCTAAAGGTTTGTCAATTTTGTTCATCTTTTCAAAAACCAACTTTTAGTTTTATTGCTTTATTTCCTTTATTTTGCTAATTCTGGGCTTAGTTTGTTCTTTTTCTAGGTCCTTGAGGTATAGAATTAGACTGTTTGACTATCTTTTTTAAAATTTTTAAACAATGTTTATCTTTGAGAGAGAGGGTGAGTGGGGGAGAGACAGAGAGAGAGGGAGACACAGGATCTGAAGCAGGCTCCAGGCTCTGAGCTGTCAGCACAGAGCAGATGCAGGGCTCTAGCTCATAGACCATGAGATCACGACTTGAGCCGAAGTCAGACGCTTAACCCACTGAGCCACCCAGGTGCCCCTTGACTATTTTTTTTTTAATGTAGGCATTTACTGCTATAAACTTCCCTCTTAGTACTGCTTTTGTTGCATACCATAAATTTTGATATATTGTATTTTAATTTTTATCTCAAGATATTTTCTAATTCCCCTTTGGATTCTTCTTTTTTTTTTTTTTTTTTTTTTTTTTTTTTTTTTGGGACAGAGAGAGACAGAGCATGAACGGGCGAGGGGCAGAGAGAGAGGGAGACACAAAATCGGAAACAGGCTCCAGGCTCTGAGCCATCAGCCCAGAGCCCGACACGGGGCTCGAACTCACGGACCGTGAGATCGTGACCTGGCTTAAGTCGGACGCTTACCCAACTGCGCCACCCAGGCGCCCCTGGATTCTTCTTTGACCCATGGGTTGTTTAAGAGTGTGTTGTTTAATTTCTCTATGTTTGTGAATTTCCCAATTTTCCTTCTGCTATTGATTTCTAGTTTCATTCCATCATGGTTAGAAAAGATACTTGATATGATTTCAATATTTTTAAATTTGTTAAGACTTGTTTTATGACCTAACATGATCTATGCTGAAAATGTGCCATGTGTGCTTGAGAAGAAAGTGGATTCTGCTGTTGTTGGGTAGACTGTTCTGTGTATGTCTATATGTCTGTTAGGACCATTTGGTCTATATTTTTGTTCCAAGCCCTCTGTTTCCTTGTTGATCTTCTGTCTGGATATTCTACCCATTAATAAAATGGGGTATTAAAATCTCCTAATATTATTGTGTTGCTGTCTATTACTCCCTTCAGTTCTGATAACTTTCACTTCATATATTTGGGTGCTCTGATATTGGGTGCATATATCTATATTTATAATTATTATATCTTCCTAGTAAAATTATCTTTTACCAGTATAAAATATCCTTCTTTGTCCCTTGTAACAGTTTTTAACTTAAAAACTATTTTATATGACCTAAGTATGGCCACTCCTGCTCTCTTTTGGTTACTATTGGCACAGAATATCTCCTTCCATTCTTTTGTTTTCATCCTATGTGTGTCCTTAAATCTAAAGTGAGTATCTTACAGACAGCATGTATTTGAATCTTAAAAAAAAATTTTTTTAAATGTTTATTTATTTTTGAGAGAGAGAGAGAGAGAGAGTGAACAAGAGAGGAGCAGAGAGAGAGAGAGAGAGAGAGACAGAATCCAAAGCAGGCTCCAGGCTCTAGCTGTCAGCACAGAGCCCGACATGGGGCTTGAA